TGGTCGAGCGAAGTACTCCTCTTTCTTGCCGGCCGGACGCAGCAGCAGATTCACGTTGAACTGGAAAGTGGAACACATCTACTTGTGCATGTATGAATCTAGCTTGTTAGCTACCCACCATTCTATGTGTATTTTTATGTATGCACAAGCACACACGCACGTTCACATCGTTATACTTTAATAAGTGCAATTAAGAAATTGTCATATTGTAGATTGTAATAATCTTCAGTTCCATATCCGTTGCAAATGAATTATAATGGCCATATGAGACCCGACAAGTGGATATTGCTTGAGGTTTACCTGGGACATTGTGGAAGAAACACCGACGTAAAGTAATAAAGATGGTTAAAAAGCAAAATAAGTGGCAGACAAAATATAATAGCACATAGAAAGGAAAACGCGTTAGTTGATGATTAAATGTGCTACACGTCAAAAGTCTTTTAGCAGTTCAGTTGATTGAAAGGGGCAAAAAGGGGTGGTAGAGAAGGGTGAGTAAATGGGCTAAGTTAGGGACTATCAAGGGTGATTAGACCAAAGTTGTAAAAGGAAGAAGTGCACACACACACACACACACACACACACAGACACGCACACGCAGACGCACGCACACGCAGACGCAGACGCAGACGCAGACGCAGACGCAGACGCACACACACACACACACACACACACACACACACACACACACACACACACACACACACACACACAAACACACACATATTGCCTACGGAAGGAAACTTTGCCAACTTGTTTTTGGAAGCATTGCTGGAAGAGGAGGGTGTTGTCTAATGAAGGGACTCTAGACAGATCACGAAAAATCGATCACTATTTGGCTGGCCTAAACAGAGTATTTAAAGATGTTTGTAGAGGTGGGGTTAGTTTTTGGACGGGGATGGGTGGAAGAGGGATTAGTGCTGTAGTGCTGGGAGAGGGAGTAATGTAGAGAATGTCTGGGGATGTGGAGTATTTTCTTGAGGTTAGGTGACAGTAGCAGTGTTCAGAAAAGGGGCCGGGGAATCTGGAGAATTAGTCATGAGCCAGTTGATAAATGGAAAAACCTTAATGCTCCTAATAGAGGTACCAAATCCTTATTACTAGCCATGGTAAGCCTGGAGTACGTTGGGGAGAGATATGGTCCACCCTCAGGGTCCCCTTCAGGAGTAAGGGCTAGATAACTCAACGGCAATACTTTGTACATGGCTCCCCCATGATTGGCACAAAGTCAGCCTTTCATTCTTTCAAAACGGCTCTCGCAAGGAAGTGGATAGTGATAAGCAAGGAAAATATTTTGTATTTCCACACCGATACATTGTAAGTCTCGGAAATATTATGATTGTTTAATGACTTTGATTTGAATTATCGACAATCCAATTTTATGGTGTCATATGTAGTCTATATATCTGGTATTAGGTATTTCTTTATGTTAAAGAAAATTGTAATATCTGTATATTTCGTTCCTCTTATTAATTGGTTTACATACTGTTAAATTTCTATTAAACGTATCTTCATGGGAATGGTACTTTAACAATTTGCATTGATGTGCCAAATTATTGAGTATCATCCCAGTAATCAGACTCAGGAAAAAAAATGTTTACACTAATTCAAGAAACCTTAATTTGGTGGATATAGCAACATCGATTCAAATTAATGATGATTAATTTAGGGACTAGTTTTCATAATGTGGCAACGTCGCCTTGCAGTAGAGGAAACTTGGCATCGGTCGAAGGAGCGTGCTGGCGTCACTCGCTTCTGGAACGTCGTCGTGGGCCCATGTGCTGCTGGCCTTTCCTAAAAGCTAAGAGACTTTTCCGCGGAATTTTGGCAACTATCTACATTATTCGAAAATCCGAGGACGAGCCGAGGGGACGCCAACTTCATGCTAGGTTCGAAACGGATCGAAACGTAGTGCGCCTTTGAGATTCCGGGAACAGTCCCTCCCCCTCCTCCCACGGCTTGTTGCGGATACCGTGATAGACCGTGAAAATATTTATCCATAACGTACCTTGGATACGGAGGGAAAAATGGCCAATATCCCACGGCGTACTGCGGTTCGAGCAAACGGGGCTGCTGCGTCGGGAGCCTAATGTAAACCTACCCTTATCAATTCTTAATGGACTCAACAGGAAGTCTGGACTCATTTACCATCCAAAAAAGGGGTGAGTTGATGGTATATAAAATGTTTCTTTTGAGTCAGTATTGGGTAAAGTTGATAATTTATAATTTGGCCACTATTTAAACCATGCGTTCTTAAGGTAATCGTTCCCCAGCTGTCATTGGTAGACCAGTTCTGCAAATGTGGATATTTTTTTGACTGTAAATGTTGATTGTAACTTCAGGAAACTTAGATTGATGAGTTGAAATCTTATAAAGGTATTTTGTTTATACAGGGTTCGTGCAGGTGTAAGCTGATGAAATTTATGACAGTTTTAAGACTTTAAAGTCATACCAATTGCTTTTTAAGACCTAGAGCCACTTGTCGCTAGATGTACTTACTTCTACTACTTATCGTGGCAGTGACCAAGTTTATCATGCATTGCAGAATAGAAAATGCTTAATTAACTATATCAAGAGACCAAACCTACCCCCTTTGGCACGAGGTAACCACATATAACTGTATCTTCCACAAGTTGTCTGGAAGTTAGTGTTGATGGGGAAGAAATCCTGAAAAAAGAATCACATTTTTACCGCGCGGAATTTTTTTTTTTTTTTTTAATCATGTATATGATTATATTGCAAAATATACCGAAATATCACTCAGCCAATCCCAGCCAGCATCTTACCTGAGCACTTCTTTCACGCAGGCTTTTGTGTACCTGAGTTTGGCGAGGTGCTGAGGAGTCAGAGGCTGCGTCCCGTCCCCGAGCACCGCGTCCAGTTCCTCATGGACTTTCTGCTGCTCCTCTGGATGCTGAGCTAGCAACGTCAGCACAAAAGCCGCTTTTATGGCCACCTGAAATTTCAGTCGAATTTTATTTGTTTTGGTTTTTCATTTGGGTTAGTAGGGTTACAACTTTTAGCTTGATTTTTTCGGTGGTATTTCTCTTACCAAGGCAATCACGGAGATATTTTGCGACGAAAGTAAATTAGGGATCAGGGAACATGATAATTGAAAGAAAAAGAGGAGATATTTATGGTAGATAGACTGGCAATACTAATTTCAACCTTTACAGACCTATTCATAATAATTAAAAACAAAACAAAAACATTTCTACTAAACAGCTAGTTCCCTTCCAACCCGAAATAAAATCCCTTAAAGGTAATAGAATCATTAGCAATTGGACTATCCAAATACACGTATGAATTCGAACAATATGGCAAGATTTTCTTGGAAAATAAGAGAAATAGTAATATTCTATATCATTAGGAATTGGACTATCCAAATATACGTATGAATTCGAACAATATGTCAAGCTTTTCTTGGATATATGCCTTAGCAGTCCCTCCAGCACAAGGTTTTTTGCGAATTTCAAACCATTTCTAAAGCTTGACAAACTATGAATATCCATAAGCATCGTTTCGATCAGATCTTGATACTAGAAAGCATATCAATTTGCAAGCACATATTCCTATTAGTTTACGCTATTCTTAATACTAAGAAGCACAGCATCAAGTAGCAACCCCATCTTTGCCAAGAAGTGAAGCGAGGAAGCGCAAGCGAAACAAATGGCAGCTGTTTCACACGTATTCCCACCGCGTCTATCCCAGCCGTGAGCAGGTCCATGAGGTAGGCATGGGCATCCTCGCGGGACAGCTCAGGGTCGAGGAGCAGCATTTCCACGAGGGTGAGCCCGTCTCCCTCGGCGTCGGGACTGCGGGTCTCGAGGGCCGCCTCCGACTCGGCCACGGACGACTGCACGAAGCTGTGGAAACGGATCGGGACGTCAGGAGGGCCGCTGGGGCATTCGTGTTATATTTAGGTGGCTATATTGTACCTTATTATGCATTTGTAACTCTTTTGTAAATTGTTATATGACTTGAATGGTCGCTCTATAAGCATGCTACAAAGCGAAATCTTGGCATACAGGAAGGTACAGCTCCACGTGCTTCGGTTTGGCTGTGTATGGCTGGACGCGCCTGCGCACACGCCACCATTCGTCCCCCTGCCTGCAGTTTGGGCAGAAGTTGACGTAATTTAAGAACTTAGTGCAGATGTATGTGCCAGTTTTTTTTTATGCACGCACACACACGCACACGCACACGCACACGCACACGCACACACCACACGCACACGCACACACACACACAACACAACACACACACACACACACACACACACACACACACACACACACACACACACACACACACACACACACACACAACAACTGCTGATACACTAATGGTTTAATCAATATACGGCAGCATGCCCAGTAATATATATAGGAAGATCTATTTATTAACTCACTCAGACATAATGCCAGATTTGTCCTTCTTGAAGAAATCATGTGTGTCTCTAACGTATTTCAAAGAACTGAACAGGTCCCTCTGTTGGTTCTTGGCTGTGCTCTTTAACACGTGCTCGATGTCACCAGGCTCTGAGATGAACACGGATGGTGCTTGTCCCGGCATATCCAGCCTGAATATGGGCCCGAACTCCCTCTCGCAAGCATCCCACAGCTTGTATATGCGGGATTTCTCATACTCTGCAAAACGATTAAGATATGATTGTAAAATATGTACTCATGACGCAAATATAGTACGTATAGATCTCCCCAACCCGTACAAACGAGGTATTGCTTGTGTGAATAAGAATTGAAGAATATACGTTAATAAATAGACTTGGTAGACACGTAAGCCCACAATCACAATACTCTGGTGGAAGGTGGGTTGGGGGGGGTGGAATCGTGTGCGGAGTAGGCAGTAGCGACACTACCATTTTTTCCTCGCTACCTGTTCTGCTCCTACCCTACCTCGCTTCCCTTTCCTACCCTACTCTTCCTTTCCCTTCCTATCCTACCCTACCCTATCTTACCCTACCCAACCCTACCTTACCTTAC